GAATACCAGTAATTGGTGAATCACGTAGTTGGTCACCAAAATAGCACCGCGATGCTTAGGTTTAAAGTTGAAGAATGGATTCACGTATGGGTTGGCAGGCACCGCGACTGAAGTTTGGCTCGTTCAGTGGCCTCGAAATCGGTTGATTATAGATGTTTCAACAACAAGCTCTTCAAAAATGAGTCGGGTATTGATATATGAGAGTCCGATGATCACAAACAAATGAGCAGTTTCGCATTCCCCATCAAGATCTTTCCGTCTAATAAATCAAATCGCGAAGCGTTCGAGGTAATCTTTAACCTCTCGAGCGCTGGCGTAAATATTGAAGTTTTCCAAATTACGAGAACTGATATTTTTAAGCGACCGCGACCCCAGGCTTTGTGGTTCTGGCTGGGACTAGAGACTCATATACCTATCGAACTCCGCGCCGTAATGATCCAGCACAGCACCAGAACTCGGAAGGAAATCAGAACACACTACTCAATAAAGAAATCATACGGTAAAATGCGGAAAATAGGACTGTACAAGGATATCGAGTTCGAAAAGACAATCAGGTTCCCAGTTTATGCACAATCATTGCAGTCTACCAGGAAGCGTATCCCAGTGTTTCCAATGGCTGTGAACAACAGGTGACTTGGCATGGGCACGGCCTTCACGATATCTCGCAAATCTGGTACCGCAGATCTAGGTAGATGCCCTATTAGTTGAGTGAACTTTCACTGGTAGTTGGTCACCCTTTCGAGCTTAAAATGGGCCTTGACTTGAGCCAACCAGACATTCGGGTCTTCAGTTATAAGAGCAGGGATTTCGAGCTTGAAGTCCGACGTCCATCCATTTGGGTTACCTCACTGTTCCTCGTACCGTTGAACATGGTGGTAACCCAGAAATGAATAATCGGTTTGACAATAGAATCAAGTGCTAACTGACTTGAAAGTGGTAGAGAAGGTTTTACAAATAAAAGTTGAACTTAACGGTAAAAGTATATAAATATGGCGATGCGGTAAAAAGAGATCAAATAAATACATAAGTTACGCAAATAAAAACGATAAAATAACCTCTTTGTCCACGAAATTCAGACTCACAGAAAACTTCAGCCCATGACGTGCTGCAAGAAAACGAGTTACGGAAACCACGCCGAGATCTTTAATTCGGCACCTAGAACGAGCTTATTGGTAACGGGTGGCGAAATCAGTCGATCGATTTTATTTCATCAATTCCCATGAACAAACCAGAGAAAGAACCGAGTCGGTGGCGAGCGCTGACACGTTTATATAAATCTACAGTACGAAATTAATGGTGCGCAAGGTGTAATGATTGTATTAGCCGTAGTAGTACGCACGGAATTCGGAACACCAACCACGAAATAGGAATCACAGGACCCGGATCAATAATCAGCTATCACGGACTGGATCTCAGAAGCATTGGACCACAATGGCACGAATTCGCAATGTCCACGAGAACGAGACGCAAGGAAAAGGCCACAGGACTGGCAGTAAGTAGTTCGTTTATTGGAAGAAATGAAGGTGATTAAACAATATGTACAAAGGGAGATTATCGGTTATCTGGGCTTCCACCAATCGGATTGCAGTACTGCCTGTATAATCTTGCTTCTTTCAGCATTGTCTTGGATTGGCTAGCACCATCCACCAATGACGTATATTCAGAAGCCATGCACGTGTCATTGACGTCAGCATTCAAACTTGATTGATCGCCGATGTCCTGAAACTGTACTGCGCCGCTCCATGGTAGGCGCCATCGTGTAGGCCTGGATCACCACACAAAGGCACCGCGGAACGCACCGAAAATTGTGCCAAATGAAAAGGTATTGTATTCTACTCTATTGTTAAGCTTGTGCAAGCCCTTTCACCCTCGTTTCAGTAACAGACAGAAGTACCCAAGTTCGTATGAAGATGTGATTTGTCACTGTTCAAAAAAGATGTTATTCACTCAGTGCGAGCAGAAAGTGTATAGCTAGATGAGAATCGATGTATCGCTGTGTGAGTTCGGGGAGGGAACATGATTTAAAGTCCTTAGAGCCTATAGCAACGCACCAGATTAACACCAAAACAACCGTTTTCCGTATGTATCTTTAGAAATGCTACGACAAGAACTTTGTCCGATCTCTACAATTTCGTGTTCCTGTCGACCCCGTTTACAGTGAAAATGTTACAATCGGTAATTCAGTGGAAATTGTTTTATTACCTCCACAGCACTGATCGATTGATCAGTTGCACGAGTGTGAGAGTATTTGCAATTGTGTAAAGATTTATTGAACACATTGTCAACACTCTTGGTGATAAAGCTGGTAAATCTATCGATGCTTTTAATGAAATAAAACAACCTTCCCTTGAAGTTATGGTTGTCAAAACACCGGATTGAAGAGAAAGAACGGATTATCCGCAATTTGCTCTCTAAACAAGTGGAAAAAACGATTATTTTAGTGTTGACCTAGTGCAACCACTTTCATTTATTCCTTTAATCCGGTTAGTGGAGAACATTAGTTAATACGAGTTTGGAGTTTATCCACAATCGTCGTCGAGCAGACAAACTTTCTGTATACATCTAATCGGCAACTGGTGCTATAGAACCGCATAATTCCAGAACTAATCCGTATGTAAATCCTTAACCATACCATCTAAATCGTCTAATTTCGTTATTTATCAGACGAAACACGAAGTCATCAAACAGTATGCGTTTCATATCTCTTTAACCTCCTTTACTCTTTTACATAATCCGTTTACTTCTTATAGAGATAACCTATTCCGTTCGGGAAACAGTTTGATAACAATTATCTGAACTGTTGGTACTTCAAAGGTTATGGACGATCGATGCCCCTAGGTACTCGACCTAGATCTACCGTGTACCGCTCACTAAAAACGGGTTATCTGGAGATTTCTGCATCAACAAAATATTGCGTAAAATGTCAAAATGAATGCTCGATCACTTGATGCAATTAGACAACTGCTTTTCGGCCCTTTTTCCAACCAAAGTAAGACTCACGGTTCTTGATATGTGTGTAACTAAGCAGTTTGAACTTCCGATATGGTAAATAAAACTATCTATGCATGTTGTTTTGTTCGCTATTGCATTCCTACATTTCTCCCTTCTGTTCCAACACGCAATGGTACCTATGTGGTGCCCACACTACAGTAGACTGTTAAACATCTCTTACAACCACAAGTTTTCTGGTTCAATCCGGTTGATACCTCGTTGTTTGTTGGCTTAAAGACTCGTTTGGAAGGTCTTGACGACTGACCGGTAGTTGAAACTATGTCGAACTTTCTCTCATAAGACCATAGATTACAATACCTGTCTTATGAAACGAAAGTACTGCTCCGCACAGTAGCTTTCAGAAGCACCACACAGCTGTTTTGACGTGGCTAGCTTTCATAGGTAGTGAAAATTTTATCGACCCCACTGGGGATCGAACCCGAGACCTCACACGTAAAAAGCAAGCACAACATCTATGTGACCATCGGACAGGTGATGGAAGCTTTTTGGCCAATCCCACAAACCATGTAGCACAATCAATCAATGCCAGCTTGTTGTGGTCATCAAACCTCGTTCATCTGAACCCTAGCCTCTAGGGTTATGATTCGACTGGAATGACCCCGACCCTAACCACGATTTACTTCAGAGTCAAAACATTACCTTACTACTTTACTTTCATGGACTAACTGTGATATTGTGAATCGTCATCCGAACCAAAGTGAAAACACCCTATGGGATTTGAAAAGGCGAAGTCTTTGTAAGTTATATCCCACAATAAAAATTTGAATTTGATGAACTTGTACTGCTGATAAGACCCAGCAACAGCTGTACAAAGCTTCCTAGATTTTCAGTTCACATCAACTTTACTCCATACACAAAGACGTTTACCAGGTACTTATTTATATCATATGTCCCTCCACAACACCTCACTTGAAAAAGACGTATAAAAAGGACAGCTTGAATTCCGTGGGCAGTTACTGAAATCCTGAATGCATCGTACATCGACTGATCGACACATGCCCTTGAAGAATTGTTCCATAAATTTAACCAATAAAAAACGACATCTTCAAGATAAACAAATTATGCAGCTCATTTGTAGCGCTCCATTTATACCCCTATCCGCGTCAACTGCACAGATAAAAAAGTTACCGAGTAATAAAACGATGACAATGATAGTAATGATGATAACTTATTTATCGTTCATAATATTTCATAAATGTAAAAATTGTGGTAAAAAAAGAGGGAGCAAGGTTTAAACAACAGACCTGTACAGACTATGGGGGGGTACAAATCCTACACGTTTTGTCGCGATATCGACCATCGAAAACAAGTGATAAATGAGTGGTTTGTAATGAATAGAATCACGTGCTTTTTAATACTTTCCAGTGCATGTATAATGTGTCTAAATAAGATGGAATCATAAATAAGATGTGAATAGGGATTTTTCTCGGGTTTGGACGGACTGGTGGTGCTCATAATTGGAAACAGGAGGGGTAGGACGGGGAAGGATAAAGTGCGCGGGACAACGAAAAACATTCTTGAAAAATATTGATTACCATTATTATTGTTAGTAGTAGTAGTAGTAGTAGTAGTAGTAGTAGTAGTAGTAGTAGTAGTAATAGTATTAGAGCAGAGGATAATAGATGACGAGTGGTGCGGAATAACAAAGCAAGGCAGAAAGAGCACTGGGCATCGGTGTATTTTGTTGTTGATGTTGTAATTCAAGGCCATTGAAACGCCCTTGTATTTCATGCGGAAGCTGAAAACCGGAAGCGAAAATCGCTCGCTCGAGATACTTGCTTGCTTCGGATATGAAATGAGTAAACATGAGCGCCACAGTGGTTAGCACAGCCGATCAGAAAGAAGAGTAACACCATTATCTTTTTGCATGTACGTGTGTGTGTGTGTGTGCATGTATGCACGAGATTAAGCCTATTCACATCTGTTGTTGCATCTGTGGTTTATAAAGTTGTGTGTGTGTACAGATTTACACAGGTCAGTATAAACAGCTATAAGTCTCCGTATTCCAGTAGAACACGTGGTCTTCCCACTACCTCGAGTGTAGGCTTCGATTCGGAATCATCCGGTTCTCGCCGGGTCACCACCACACCTCGAGGACTGTCACGCGAGAACCCACGACCGTACACACTTTCCATGCTGTTCATCTTTTTGGATCCACCACTAGCCTGTGCCGTATAGGACTGGTTAGTTGAATTGGTCATTGAATTGCCCGTCCACCGTGCTGTTGGTGCAGTTCGACCCGGTTTCGGAGTACTGATAAAAAACAATAAAAAAACAATCGAAGATGAGTTAAGCGAGGGCTGCGTGATATTCTGTGTGCGAATTTACCTTTTTTATGGGGCACAGGAGTTTAACAGGCAGACCGTACAGCATTCGCATCACTGACTTCTATTCTGGGCGTATCTAACCAACGACAATCTTCATCTCTTAGGTCCCAACCTGGAAGGCGGGCTGCACCAACCAAAGCCAAAGCTGAAGCCAGTTTCTTCACATCTCTAGGCCGTGTATGGTCTGACCGCCGCGGTGCTTCTTCCAGCCTTGCCCGGCGCGTGCGTGATTCTACTCGAGAAATAAATTTCGCAACAATTTCTCACAATTTAGGGCCTATTGGCCCTCTTGACCTAGCTACAGTTATTCATAAGCACACACACATGTTCGACGTTTGTACTAGTTTTTATATCATACGCACCGTGCACTCAAACCTTTTGGAATAGCACCAACACGCTTTGAAACAGCCTTACGCAGTACTTCTCAACACTTTAGTTCATCTTTCTTTTCTTGTTTCTTCTTCTATTTTTCATTTCTACTTCCTTTTATTGAATACATAATGATACAATTTTCAGGAAGGGGGAAGCCGACAATCAAAGAGGTACCATGCAACACAGAGAGAATGGAGGTCAGGCGATGGTGGTGGGATTCGAACACATATCCCCGGGGTGACAATTTGTGTGACGTTACCACCGGGCCACTATTGCCCGATTTCACTTCTATGAGTTGAAGTGCTTCCCCAATCTTCTCTTTTACAGCAGCTGTATTGATGCCACTCACCCAAAAGCATGTGATATTCGCTGTTTCAAGTCTGAATGGAATTGTAATGATATAAGTTGATCGGTAAGATATCGGTGCGAAAATGGAGAACCTGTGCGACGGTGACTGGGGTCTATTTCCATATCGAGAACCTTGTCAGTTTCGGCGAGAAAGAACTTACATTGGATCAGAACCGACCGCCACACAACCCGCATTGCTTTCACCACTCAAACTGGACTCGGTCACATACGGGGATGAGGAATTCGATGCGCGTGAACCATAATCCGCCACCCCGGGACGGGGCAGCCTGCCAGTGGCACTGGCCATACTGTTCGTGGCCGTTCGTTGCTGTGCTATGACTAGACTGGGCAAAGAGCCGTTATTGGTTGTCCCCGGTTGTGCGGATGTGGAACTGGAAGCGAACGAGTGAATACTGGAACTTCGGGATACTGTGTAAAGGGAGACAGACAGAGAAGCAGAGTTTAGCATTGCAAAACAAATATTTTTGGTTTTCTGATTGTTTCATAGAGAGAGCTCAGTGAACCAAATTGTGAAGGACATCAAACTCTCTTGTTAATAATTCTGGTGTGCTTTAAGGTGCACGTCTATCTCCATATCTTTTCCCTGCTTTTAGCAGTGGTCTTCCGGTCCAACCCCTTGCACACATCCAAAAGTATGCTGACGCCGTCGTTTGGTGTCGTAAAACTTCGTCTCCTTCGGAGTTCGATTCGTTTACCGAAAAATTATCCCACACGCAACAGTGTTCCAACCCATCTGGTCCCAGTGTTAACACACCTAAGTGCGTACAGTGTATCTTCAAGCTTGCTCGCTCCCCACTTCCAAAGGAACCTACTACATTTAACTGTAAACCTGTGTCCATAATGACCCCAGTAAACGTGCCCGGATGTCACCATTGACAGTAATCCACACACATTTTCAATTGTACGGGAAAACTGATACACCTCTCTTTTCAGTTACGCAAACTCAGGCAATGCCGAACCCCACAGTCAGCCCTGTCCTCTTTCGTTCACCAATGCGTTTTCCCCATTCTACTTTATTGCTCTCCTATGGTGTTTCCCAGCCTTTTACAACAAGACTTCAAAACCCTTCGTCGTGAGTTGATGATAATCAGTCGTGCATCATTAGTCCCAATCGAATAATTAATCACAGAAGTCATTAATGGTCACATCAACTCTTGTGGTAAACTTGTCAATAAGATTCTTGACTGTCCTGTTCGCCCATTGCATCCCAATCTATCATCTTGTTGTTCCCATCCGTCCACATAGTTCTCTTGTCGGCATCTACGCTCTCGTGTTAACACTTATAAGAATTCCCTGTACCCTACTGGTTCGACTTCTAACCAATAAGGAACAGGTCACAAGTCACTTAAGTCAGAACTTTTGTACATGAAACAAACTTCTTTACTTCGCATGTTATAGAAAACTGTATAGTTCATTCCGCTTGATAACGAAGGCACAGTTTTAACTGAAATGTTGGCAAGTTATACAAATATTAATTTCCAGGGAAAAAACAAGAGCGGAATCTGTTTGGAGCACAAAAAACAGCTGAAAATTAAACTAACCGTTTTCTGACATCTCACAAACGACAGGACGAAGCTGAAAATAAGACGCCCCTATTGTAATGATGATAAAAATAATAATATTAATAATAATTTTGTTTTACTTTGTTTTATGGAATAGACAAAAGTATAAAGGGTTATCAAAGGAATACAACGAAAATGGACAGTTACGCCTCGGTATCAGCCACTGCAATGCGAGCCGAACACAAGATTTCCGGGACAACAGAAAGACAGCCAACAAATTCCTCGATTACATCGGGTCGACAGCTGCTTTCAGTATCCTTTATTTCGAGCATTTAACCTCTGAAAACCCTATTCACAGTTTGGTATAGTTAACCCAGAAAAGTGTTGGTCTCTATCGGTGGAACTCACATGAACGCAACCAAAATCCGATTGGACTGGAAAGATTTACTGCGAAAAGCAACCTGATAGATGGAGATATTTCTTTAAACGCACCTTCTGATCCACTTCGACTATATGGCCCCGTGGTGAGATAACCGTATTCTTCAGAAGTTGCTTTTGTGGTCACAATCTCACACAACTGCTTCTCGCATCGTTCGGTACAGGGCAGGGCACGATAGCCTCGTCCAGTCGGATCGGTTGCTGTGGATGGGAGTGGAACAGGGAAGGAGAAAAAGGATATGCACGATGGATAAGATTCCACGAGGAAGAAACCCAACCCTGGACCAAGTGCTTCAATTATCTATGAAAGGGTACTTGAAGAATGCATGCTCGGATGTAAATATTGAAAAAAATATCGGAAATGCTCAAAAGATTCTCTGGATATGATCCATGTTTTCCGTGCACAAAGTTCTTTGGTTCATAAGTCGCACTATACACTGACAAAAATATCTTTCCGACCGCAAATTACAATCGAGGTTCGCTTCATTTAGCAAATTTACCAGAGTTAACGAAATGCAACAGAACACCCTATATACGAATTGTAAACAGTCACTTTCAGTTGTTGTTGAGAAATATAATGAAAAGTATTGCAGGTGCTGGGAGTGAACCCACATCAGCTCTACGGCATTTCCGACACTCATGTTTGGAGATACTGAGTGTTGCTTTGCTCCGTTGATTTTACCCATAAAAGCATTGTCAAACAGGGTTACAGAGATTACACTCACTGGTTGATTTGGCTTCGACCGGAGTGACGACTTCCGGTCGGGAACGTCCGTGATCAGGATGTGCAAAATCAGTTTTGCCGCGAAATGCATCCAATTGTGCATTCACGGTGGTCGTTGTGAACGGTTGGTGCGGAAAATGATGCTGTTGATGAAACTGATCGACTGGCAAGGAAGAATTGGATCGCGGCATACCGCTGATCCGTGGTGAGTCGACAAACTTCGGTTGTTCACCGCTTGGATGTCTAGAACTGCGGATCACCGCGGAGGTTGGAGATAGTGAATTACGCTCCGGTCGAGTGGTGGGCGGAGTACGCGGGGATTTCGAATTGGTCGGGGTGGTATCGATATATTTGATGGACTGGTTGTGACCATTCGTGCCGACCGAGTCCGTGCCAGCCGATGTAAGCTTGCCGTCGCCAATCTGGAATGAATGAACCGATGAGTGGCAACTGTAGGGAGCTGGTACGAGTATCTCTTTTCAGAAACAATGTTCAGATAGAAAGTTCTGAAGTGATCAGTTAGTTTGGCGACTCGTTAAATCTACAATTCACTTCCGAAAGCCTCAGTATTGTCGGGGTGGGTGTCTCGGGTTGTAACTGGTCACCATTCCCCTACACCTCGAGAAATGCTCCTACATGACCAAGCGTCTCAAATAGCCTCTGCCGAGGAAGCTCTACTCACTGCCTTCTCGTGGCGGAGGTGTTTTCCCACCAAAGTGAGAGGACGAAAAGCTGACATCCGAGACTATAACCGGGTTGGTGAACCATTGACAGTTCACCTAAGGGAGTTGGATAAAATCCTTGATCCCAAACCAACCAAGAAGAGGTGTACGAACCACACGCACACCTTCCTGGTTGCGACAGTGGTCACCGGCTCAATTGGACATCGAGGTGTATTGGGTACCTTGGACGTATGACCCCATCCAAAGGGGGTATGATCTGAAGAACTTGACACAGGCCCGCAATGGACTGCGGACTCTGAGCTCCGTTCTGTTGTCTTGCCGGTCTGGCTTTCTAGCCAAAGACTTCGGGTGGGGACCCCAAGGTCATCCTCCTTTTTCGGCCAGGGCAACCGGAAGTAACATACCCACACAATCCATGAACATATTCTTCAAATTTCTTTTTCTTCATATGTTGTGGCACATTTCCCAGTTCTCCGTAATTGGTTATTTATTGAACTAAGAAATATTCTGTAATGAATAGAGTATTCTGCATGGGACATGAATGTACTCTTTTTTAAAATAGAGAAAATCGATAATGTGTTTGATCGTAAGCCATTGAAAATACCAACAACAACAACAGAGCATACAAATTTGCCAGTAAACTCGATTTACAGAATGAGTCCGGGAGAACCAATGAGCGCTGGATTTTGTACAAGCCATTGAAATACCTAGTAAGCTACCATTGTTGTGGCCCATGCGGGGCTTTCGTAGACGAGAACCCATTGAACAATGACAAGCCCGTGCACTTCAATGAACTATAAGCAATTGGAGGCCATTTCTGCTCTTTTCGACTCAGATTACGCGGTAGATGATAAATGTGGAAAAGATTAATGGAGCAGATTTCGACGTTAAAAATGAAAATGAAGGTGGCTGTGTTTAAACGCATTTCGAAAAATATAAGCAATGAATAGATGTTCCCATTCTTGACTGGCTACAACTGTCATCTGTCAGGTTTCCATGAGACTATCTACAGACTGCGCAAATGTAATCATCTGCGAATTGAACCTCTTTGAACGTCTTCCGATCAAATCCATCACATCAACTTCAGTCATGTCCGTGTTACAATACTTATGTTGGAAATGCGGCTAGGTCAAATCCAGATAAATCAATAGTCAATCGTATTGCGCGAAACGCACAAAATAAAGATACTCTAATTACACACCTTACCTGCGGTAGAAAAGCCTCCCTAGCAGTTATGAGAATGAGACAGTAAGAAATGAAGAGTTGGATTTACTCCGGAAAAAAACTCATGAAAAAGTTCAAGGTGAAAAAGGAACCCGGGGATGTGGGGTACGAACTTGGGCCTTAGATGAACCAATGAAGTGTTAACGAAACATTTTACTATCAATTTCCAGTGTGACTATCTTAAAAAATAAAAGTTGTTCAGTTTTATTCATCGCGGCATTGGGAGTGGATTCCTAATACGCATAAAACTTCCTATAGCAAAACTATGACAACAGCTTTTGAGGATAAATTTTATTTGACCTGTGGCTTTTGACGAGAGTGACCAAAAGATGGACAACGAACCCGGGGTACAAAGATCGCATCGAAAAAGAATATTTGCTGACGGTCGATCCAAGAACAGTATAAACGGATTTTTTAAATGCGGTGGAAATATTTGTGATAACTGAGAAAGAGTACTGGGCAGCTGTTTCGTCCTGTTTGGGACTCGTAGGCGGCGCGTGCTTTTGTGTCCCTGTCAGGACTCGAACCGCGGACATACAAACGGAATCTTTCACAAGTGAACTGAATGTCTGAACCGAGGACGGTTCTCACAAGTCCGGTAGAACAACCAAATACGGATCCTGGGACAAATTGTCCTACCTGTTGATCACAAAGAATCTCCTATGAAAAACGCACAATCTGATTCAATGAAATTAGTGATCGTGAGGATTTTATGCATCACAAAAGTGTAAAGACTCGCTTTCACCTCAGGAAAAGAGTTTGGTTATGAGCAGCAAACAGGAACTGCCGGTAATCATCAAGCAAAAGTAATTGTTTGCCTTCTGGCCAAGAGGGAAGGGTTATTATGATAAAAATGATTCAGTTTTAGAGAAAACCAAAGCACGCACGGTGAGGTATGTTGTCTCTATGTCCTTATCGAATCTGTGAATACGAAAGTAGCATTGAAGGGTACGACTGATCATGCTTTTTATCTTCTATTTATAACTCCTTTCATTGAGTACACAATGATACAATTTTCAGGAAATGGTAAGTGCCCAATCGGATGGCTGCCCTGCAAAACACAGAAAATAGGGAACAGTGGTGGGATTCAAACACACGTCCTCCGGGGCGTCCACCGCTTGACCACCAGAGTCCACCAAATCCTGCTTGTTAGGCACCAGCAAGATCTTATGCCATAACAGAATTACGACTGATTCGTCTGAATAACATAATACGATCCAAAAGGCCAGGTTTTTGTACTTTACGTAGAAGGGCCATCATCGCTTATCGATCAATTACAAGCTGATGATACTCAGCAAACCTCATTTTGTACGCAGATACCAAAGAGATGAACTTCTTCATCAAAGAAATAATATGCTATTAAATCGAATTTGGTCAGTGCAGACACCCTGTTACCTTGCCAGTACATCCCCAAAAGAGCTCCGGACAAAAAAAAGAGAGTCACAAGTGAATGAAGGATTAGACTCCCGCTCTTTACCGCTCGGCTTCACTCAGTCCTCAATCTAGCCTGTGTCGCCGGAACATGTGCAGATCGGGGCGGGGGGGAGCGGGGTATTCTTGAAAACTCACCCGTAGACTGAAGCTTCGATTCGGTCGAGCCGAATTCGGCCCGGTCGAATCTAACCGTTTGAGAAACACATGAAACTCGCTCGTATCACACTCATCCGGATCCCGATCGTACATGGACACGGAGCCAGGAACGAGGCGATTGCTGGAGTGTGACTTCCGTATGGACGAGGTAGACAGACTATTGGACNGGACGAACCACTGCTCTCGTTTGACAGGGAATAGTGGGAGTGGATTGACTGTAATGTGTCCCGGGCTGTGAAGTCAAAACAATCGGAAATAGTTTATTATGTGACTTTTGTTTTCTGTTTATGAGAATATGTTTGGAATCAGTAAGTGTTCCAGCGGTTTTCATTGGGGTAGCTTAACTATGGGAATACACTGAAACTCCCAAGGAGAGAATTTCATAAATATACACACACAGATATGTCACCGTTGCGCTTTCTTCGTTTAAAAATAGAAGACCAGTATTTGGAAGTAAACCACGTGCAAGGTTAACTTACTGCCTGTGGTACCGCCGGCGCACTTCAGTGTATCCCCATTTTGATGAGAATCCCTTCGCTGTAATGGGTAAAATAGAAATAAAGAAGGAAATTTCAATTTGAAATATAATGCTAATCGTATAACACATGTTGTTCCGTAAGTGGTGTTTCACACGCTTACGAAATCAGGCTAACTTCAAATGACATTCGCAGACATTAAAGAAAAAGGAAATCACTGTTCACCATTGTTCAGAAGCACAGAACACGCTATGCAAGCACAATTCTGTTTCGATAAAATTGTGAGCGGAAAAGCATGAAACATGGTGCACGTTGTTCGAATGTCAGTGGCTGATCAAAAGTGGGTAAATCGTCAGGATGCTGTAGAAGGAAAAGACTAGATGAGCGTGAATGAGGTCCATTCCAACTAGTAAACGAGTCCACATTGTCAAATAAAGAGGATGAATGACGCAACACCATAGATATAGGTCGTCGTCAATGTTGTCGTTGGTGATGGTGGTGGTCGTCGTCGTAGAGCAGTAGTAGTATCAGCAGTATCAACGGAAGTCATCCTAATGGCATCAATTTTATTATTACCAGTAAAAACAAAATCATTGATGCAGAACAAGTTAGATCCATACCTTGGCTAAGGCTGCTTTAGCCTTTTGGACGAGATTCATCCGTTTCTGAGTTCTGAAGAAAAAATAAAACATTAGATCACAGGAGTCCAAACATCAAATCATTTTGAGATAATAGATAAATAATTTGGAAGATTTCCCCAATGGTTTATTTGTTTTCTTGACCTTATGTATGTGCAAACTATGGGTACTCGAGGAATGCTTCTCGAAGGATGCAGGTAAGGAAATGAAAGTGTCCTGACTGCTAATAATAATCTGGATTAAAGTGATTAACCTTCTGATCAGAAATCCTTGAAAGAAGGTGCGATTAACATATAGATGCTCCAAGTGTTAGCGAAACCGGAAAATTGCTGAGCATATCCCAATACTGACTATCAACCAACCAAAGAGCAGTAGTATGAGTACATTCATCAAACAGTAGAATGACCGAAGTCGGAAATTGACCCCGCTGCTCTTCGTAACAGAACGCACCAAAAGAACGACGTGATTCTCCACACCCAGGCAATCAGAAACCCGAATCGAGTTCGAAAGATCGGTGGATAAATTACCGCTCAAAGGCTAGTTGTTGCCCTCTCTCCATATTGATGGAGATTGATAGCCTACCTGTGATCTACTTCATGAGATTAGTTTCCAGCTATCNTCTACTTCATGAGATTAGTTTCCAGCTATCATTCATAAAACACTATGACCCAAAAGTTGTGATCATTCGACTCGCGTTGGACCTGGATGGCCTCGTGATAAATGTCTACAATCTCTAACAAATAAATAAATTTTCTATCCTGCAAAATACTCCATTTTTAGTTGAACATAAGGGAAATGGGAAAAGTGAAGAGAAACGCTAAAGTATTCCAAGTAAACAGTATTCGCGCTGAAAATCGTGAATGCCATGACCATGTGAGCTAAAACATTTACATAACCGCGTCGTGATCTGTGCTTTCATGCATACCGTGACAAGTGACAATAAGATGGATCATAAAAAATGTGCGTGTGGGGGGGGAATGGGGTGCGGAGGGGTAGGGGGGAAGTGGTACTCAAACGGGGTCAGGATTTACAAAGTGCATGTCCGCTGACGACCAAAGTCGAGAGGCCTCGTGAAATAAACATACATACATACCACATGCTGCTGTTTGCGATAGACAAACGAAACTTACCCCGGGGATGCACACTCCGACACATCGCTACAGCTGTCGTTTGTATATGTGGGAAAATCCACAAATTCAGTCAAACGACATTACAATTAGGATAAAAACATTTTCCTAATATTCACAATCAATAACGCTGCTCCTGCTGTATAAGGGAATAATACCAAGTTGTGCGTTCCACGCTAAGCGTGTTTATCCCAAAGCAAATCCAAGATAAATGGGATCCGTAGGTACAGAGAATGCAGATCCCGCGAGGTCAACTGTAGTCAGCATCTTTTGAATAAGGGATACATTTTTGCACAGTTCGCGTAAAACGGTCAAAATCATCAACGATTTAAAACATACGATGAAAAGCTGCATATTCTCGGACTGTATTCATATGAATGCCCTCGAGTACAGGGAATAATGATCGTCGTATATCAACCTAACCACCAGTGTAGTACTCTACCGACAGATTAGAAAGAAACCCCGTCGGAAGAATCACATAAAGCATTTTGACGTTTAGACAATGCATGAAAATCCCAATCAATGTTAAGGTGCATTTTTCTCACGCAATCACAAACACTGATTGTTATCGATAGGGTTGTTGAAGTAACACATATCACTCCAAAATGGCATGAATTGGGTATAATCTAAACCCTACCACCACTAGCTATGTTTCCCACTTCTTTACTCCCCGAGAGCCCTTTGATTGGTTTCCGTGTTTTCAAGAAAAATATGTTTAATCAAATAAACCAACAGGTGGTGGTAGCGCGGTGATTTAGTCACTATCATCAGAATACCTTCAACCCTGTGGTTCGAGCCCATTATCGCCAACCAACTTTGATGATAGGCAACTTTGTTGTTGTTTAGTTGAGTGCCATGCCTAATCTAGCGAGGCCTTATCTAGTTCGCCATTTTAAATCCTGGGGCTCAGGCTACCGGTTGCCATCGCTGAACAGCAGGTCCTCTTGACTATGGGGCTTTCCTTATCTGTTGCTCATCACACTACCGTGTACCATAACAAAGGAAATTATTATTACTATTATTCATACGGAGTGTGTCTGTCGTGCCTGGTTAAGTAACCGGTTCAGACGGTTTCCGGGCCGAGACAGACACACACAAAAACAAGTGTGTGTCTCTGTACAACAAAGTTCGGTCAAAGAAGCCCCCTCCCCATCCTCATCTCCCACACACTGACCGCCAATACACAAAATGTTTGGACTATGCTCTTAGGCACCCATTTGGAAAACGACTCTCTGCGTTCTCCTGAACCAACCTCAACCTCACGCTTCACCCTTCGTGTGTCAGGCG